ATTTTTTGGATTTTGAACAGTATTTTTTGTTCAGATTTATCTTTACATGAAAAGTGGCTAAATTTCGATTACTTTTTAAATTGTGGCTATTTTTGTGACCATTTATAAATCTGGCTATTTTTAAATTTCTCCTGTATATTTAAGCTCATTAGGGGTCCTTCAATTTTAACTTTAGATCATTTAAAAGATTTGGGAGAAGAGCCATGGAGAAGGCATCTCCGTCATTTTAGTATTTATCCCATGTTTAGTAATCCGGGGATTATTATCATATCCTCAATGTGAGATAGAATAATTTTACAATTGTAGTATTAAATTCTGGAATTGCTAATTCGGATTCGAATATTCGACCAAATACAGAATAAATTAATCTCTGGCCCATGATGGAGGGCGAGTTGATAAGGGCGGGTGAAGCATGACTGACAAACTTCTAGGCTGACAAGCTTTTGAACAAGGGGTGCACATGTCACCTTAGGCAAATCCCACATCAGAATGGGTGAAAAGTTGTCACGACCCTAAATTCAATCCTGTCATGATGGCACCTATCGATGGTACTAGGCTAGCCGACTATCACAATACTTCAATAATTCATTAAATGATAAGCCAAAAACCTTTTTATAACAGGATTTTCATAAAATAAGTACGAGTTAAACTCAATATAGAAATACTGAACGGAAGCCCCAAACATCGGGGTGTCACTAAATCATGAGCATCTAATAGAACTGGTCCGACAATAACAAGATTTAACATAGTCTGAAATCCAAAATACAACTCAAGAAAGATAGGGAAGAAGAAAAGCAAGGCTGCGAACGCCGGACAGCTACCTCGCTATCTCTAAACTGCTGCGAGGACTATCAACAACCTCTCCGATCAACTACTCCTGGATCTGCACACGAGGCGTAGGGATTAACGTGAGTACACCAACTCAGTAAGTAACAGAAAAAAATAGGGAACTGAGAAGTAGTGACGAGCTATGCAGATACAGTTTATTTTCATAAAAATTCGGTAAAGTGTAGGCACGCTTTCAGTTCAGAGTTTAAGTCAAATCAGTTGATTTAAATCAAGTTCAAGTAGAGTCAGATAAATTATCTTTCAACAGTTTTCAAAGCAAGATTATAAGGCAACTATGTGCAATAATGATGAAATCATATACTGCGCCTCGGGCAATCATCACTCAGTCCTCTCAATCACTCCAACCTCACAATCACTCATTCCTCACAATCGCTCAGCACTCGGCACCCGCACTTAGTAGGTACCTGCGCTCACTGGGGGTGTGCAGACTCCAGAGGGGCTCCTTCAGCTCAAGCGCTATAACAAGCCAATTATGGCATAAATCAATAAAATCTGTTGCGGCGTGCAAACCGATCCCATAAATATCTTCACAATCAGGTCCTCGGCCTCACTCAGTCATCAATCTCTCCAGTATCTCGGGCTCTCAGATATCAGAAAAAATATCAATCCAAACAACAATAACATGAGGCATCGAATAGAATTACAGAGACTGAGATATGATATGCGAGTAAAAACTATGACTAAATACAATTAGCATTTAAAAGGCAATTCAACATGTAACGCAGCCCCTATGGGGCCCAACAGTGCCAACATATAATACAAACATGGTTATAACATGATTTACAATTAATTTTCCATAACACATAGAGGGCATATAACTAACAACATGTTGTTCAACTTTATAGTTTCTACGGGACGGATCAAGTCACAATCCTCTCGGTGCACACCCACACACCCATCACCTAGCATGTGTGTCACCTCCCAAAATAATCACATAATATCAAATCTGGAGTTTCATACCCTCATTACTAGATTTACAACTGTTACTTACCTCAATCCGAGGAAAATCCTACTCCGCAATGTCTTTGCCTCTCGAATCGACCTCTGAGCATCCCGAATCTTGCCACAAGCAACACAATATGATTAATATAGTCTAAAGGAACTAATTTCACAAGAAAAATGCCAAATTATAACCAAAATCCAAAATCGACTCAAACCCGGCCTCCGGGCCCACGTCTCGAAATCCAACCAAAGTCACAAAACCCGAAAGCCCATTCACTCACGAGTCTAACCATACTAATTTCATCAAAATCCAACATCATTTGCCCCTCCAAATCCCAAAAACTCACTCTCCAATTCTCAAGCTCTAACCTCCTAGATTCCACCTCAAAAGTTCACCAACTAGGTGTAAAATCAGTGGGGAAACACCATTATTGAACATAGACAAGCATAAGGAACTCACCTCAGTAATTGCTTTGAAATTCCTCTTAAAAACCCCTAAAATCCGAGCTCAAAGATGTGAAAATGGGGAAAAATACCGAAGAGTTCTATTTATACCTTCTGCCCAGTAAAACCGCATTTGCGGGAATTCCATCGCAGGTGCGGATCCCACTTACTCTCCCAAAATCTGCATTTGCGCCCCTTCTCGCTTCTGCGATCCTTTCTTCCCAGGCCCTTTTCTGCATCTGCGATTCCGCATATGCATTCCTAATCTCGCACCTGCGCTTCCAGTCCACCTCAGCCTTGCCCGCATTTGCGAGCTCCTCTTCGTTTCTGCAGGGCCGCAGGTGCGAAAATACCATAACCAGCATCTTCAGCTGACACGTCTCATAACATTGTTCGAACTTAGTTGAATCTTCGAATCACTCAAAACAACACCAAAACACTAAATTACACTCGGATTCAAGCCTAAGAACTTCTAAACTTTCAAATTCCACAAACGATGCCGAAACCCACTAAACCCCGTCCGAATGGCCGCAAAGTTTGCACAAAAGTCAAAAATGACACCACGAATCTACTTCAACTTCCGAAATTCCATTCCGACCCTGATATCAAAATTTTCACTGCCGATCAAAATCACCAAAATTTTAACTTTCGTCAATTCAAGCCTAATTCTACCACGGGTCTCCAAATCACATTCCGGACGCGCTCCCAAGTCCAAAATCACCTAACGGAGCTAATGGGACCATCAAAATTCAACTCTGAGGCCGTTTACAAATAAGTCGACATCCAGTCAACTTTTCCAACTTAAGCTTTCACATAAGAGACTAAGTGTCTCAATTCACTCCAAAATCGGACCCGAACCAACTAATCCGATATATCATAATACAACTGTAGAACACAAAAGAAGTAGGGAATGGGGGAACGGGGCTATAACTCTCGAAACGATAGGTCGGGTCGTTACAAAAGTAAAGAGCTTTATAGGACATGACAAAGTTCACACGGTATGCGCGCTTTTAGAATTCGTTGTGGTGTAGCCCGAAAGAAAAATTCCGTACGAGTCTAGGCCCAAAGGGACAATACGTACCATGGGCTTGAGTCGAGACTTAAATTTTTCACATGAAATGCACCTTTACATTACAACTTATATTTTTTTTTAAATATATTTTAAATATTTTTTTCTAATTTTTTTTAACGAAAATCATCTTGCAGTCGAAACCTTTCTAATTGCAAGTGAAATCTTGAAAATTTTACATGAAATACACCCTTAGAACCACAACTTGGACTTAAAATTCTTTTTTTCCTTCAAAATTTGTTCTCAATTTCACGAGCAGACGTCAAACCTGTAAACTGAAACATTTTTATTTGCAGGTGAAATCTACAACCAGACATAACCTACATTTCCTTGATGCTTTGACCCAAAAAAGAACAGAAGAATTTAAATTAACAATATCACAAAAAATAAAATACACTAATAATTAAACCGAACAAGACAGGAATTTTGTCAGAACCCAATAATTTTGGCCCAAACACTGTATCGTGTCAAAAATTTACTTAAAATATATAGACAATTTATTTAGAACTCATCAAATTATTTTTTACTAAAATTATGAATCCATAAACTCAAAATTCAAACTTCGTCTCCCATCGCACATACTAGAAGTGTTTATTTTCCCACAAGTCACAAGTGATACCAGAAGTTGACAAATAAATTCAAACAAATATGTTTGCCATATGATGTTGAAAGTTATCTTATTCTCAGCCAAAAATAATAAACTTCTATCCAATCATTAACATTTTGAATTTTGAAACCAACTACCATGAATTTTGGCGTAGTGACAAACAAACTTGTCCTATTTTCAAAAATATATGAAACTGACTTTACCCATAATTTGAGGAATTATTTATGCATCTTATTAACAAACATTTGATTCTTTCACGTAAAAGACAAGAAGTGGCATTGGCATTTGTGTTCTAAAATACTTATATTGACTTCATTTAGAAACAAAGCATTTTACTTTTGAATTAACTTTTTTTTAATTATAGTTTCTAGTCAACTTATATTTGTTTGTTTTAGAATTTTTTTGAAATCTATTCAAATCTCTACATACAAAAATAAAAATCCTTAGAAAGATTTGACATTTAAAAAAAAAACTGTAATGTGCCACAAAACTGACCCCGTCCTGTCACAAGTTGAATTATTGTATTGCTATTTCATACTTATAGTAAGAGTGTTGTTTCATATTTTTAGTTGGTAAAACACTTTCACTTACAACCGCTAAGTTCTAGACTCGAGTTACGCTGGAGGAGAAGTGTGAAAATACTATAAATCCTTCTAAATTGGGAGGGAATTTTTTTTAAAAAAAATATTACTATTTGTTGGTTTTTTCATTTTTTTTATTTTGATTATCTTATTTTTATGGTTGTGATTACTATTTCTCTTTTCATGGCTTCTTCAGTACCGTATTTCTTTTTAAAAAATGTTGTGATTACACTTTTCTTGAGCCTCTATCGAAAATAGCTTTTCTGTCTTTATAAGATAGAGGTTATGTTTTCGTACACAACATTCTTCTCAAATTCTATTTGTGGAATTACACTGGGTATATTGTTGTTATTGTTTGGTTTATATAACTTAAATCCATGTGTCATATGAGGATTTGATACATCAAATTGCACTAATATTCCTCAATACGAGAGTATAGTGGCTTGGCCAGTCAAAATCTAGTAACAATAGCTATTATTAATCAAAGGAAATGATTGTTCACATGATTAGTCGTTAAATAAAACAAGCTTTAGATTAATAATTACAATTATTACTAATACTAAAAATCAACCTCGAAAACTTGTTCAATGCAATCTTAAATCACATCATGCCTATAACTTTACATACATTCCCTTTTGTTCTATCTCTATCAACTATTCTCTTTCTAGGTTAACCACAAAATATAGCCTTTAAAAAAGTGCTATATTTGGAATATTTTTTTGTCTTGAAACTTTCATCATTTTGAATAGTCTCTTTCACTTTCTTGCAATCTTGTGAACTCTGTTGAATTTCCAAGTTTACCCATAATAGTATTCTTGAAATTGATTTTGTCTTGAGCTTGTGAACATGACCTTTGCATTTTTACACCACTTAAAGAAGCCCTTGATTCCATCATTTCATTTAATGACACTTTTTTCATCTTAGGACCAATTACATGCTCTAGCCTTTGTTTTGGAGCACTTTGGGACCTTAATTTAGCCTTAAATGATTGTGTTTTAGCCATGTAATTAGGATAATAATAATTATTATTATTGTCATAATAATAATTATTATTCCTAAAATAATAGCTTTCCCCACACACACTTTTGGCTGGTGTAATTGGCGTGTTAGAACCACAAGAATTTGCAAACCTTGGTGTACTTTGGGCTGTTATGGCTAAATCTGCAAATTCTGGCATTGGTTTGAAAGAATCATCACAAGAATCAGAAGAAACCCAAGTGTTTGTTCTTCTGGATCTTGATTTTGGTCTTCCAGTGTCCATTTCCACAATTTTTGCACTTTCTTCACTTGCATTTATGTTATTAGCCTCAAATGATGCAGATAGCCTTCTGCTATGACTTTGCATTGTATGGCCACTTCTTGATTCCTCAAAACGTTCCTACAAATTAAGTCGGAAGTTAGAGGCAGATCTAGGACGTGTTCTGCACGTTCAACAATATATAAAAAGGACAGTTTGGGGCACAAAGTTAAGCTTTCCGTATTCACGCAAGAATCCGGGAAGAGCTGCACCTCAAAAGGGTGTGATGTAGGCAACCTATCCTGATACAAGTATTGCTGGCTGATTCCACGTTTAACGATATATACATACACAAAAAAGAATTTATTGTAAAGTATACAAACATATAATAAGATTTTATAATCATTCAGAACTCACTAATTCGAGATTCTGAATTCGTTGTATGTTAACAATATTAAAGGGCAGCACGATGCATTAAGCTTCCGCTATGCGCGGGTTCGGGAAAGTGCCGGACTACACGAGTCTATTGTACGCAACCTCACCCTGCATTTCTGCAAGAGGTTGTTTTCATAGCTCGAACCCGTGACTTTTTGGTCATTAGACAACAACTTTACCAGTTTACCCGTATGTTAACAACATTAAATTTTTAAAAAGTTAAATTAAGGGACTTACAATTGATTTTCTGGCTTGAAATTGGGGATGAGAATTTTGATTATTTATGAAGAAACCTCCTCGAGATTTTTGGGCACGAACACTAGCTTGTGCTCTCATTAAAGCTTGCATACTATGAAGTGTAGCAGTGGCTTGCTTTCTTACCAAATAACCCCTAACCAATGCTTGTAGTTTCACTAATCCTTTTAATGCTCTCAATGCCTTTCTTGCCTGTTTCACATTTAAACAACAAAAATTCATTAAAAAAAAATTATCAGAAAATCAGACAGACATAATATAATTAAGTAATAAAAATTATTATGTCTCTAACGACTAAAACTTTTAAATAGGATGGTCATAACACTACTAAAAAAATTGAAATTAGGTATGAAGTTCGTCGCCAATGATTTGTCGCTATATTGCTCGTAGCTAATAAATTTTTTTGATAATTTATCGCTAATAGTGCTAGATTTCGTTGTTTAGCTATTAAATTTATCTGTCGCTAATTTCTGTTTTTAGTAGAGTAAAATTCAATATGATATTACAACAGATAAAGATTCTAAATACCCGAAAAGTAAAAAATATTTTTAGGTATTTGACCAATAAAAAGAATTAAGACGGATAACACCACTATAAGAGGTCGTTTTGTAAACGGGATAAGGATACCAAGTTTTAGTATAAAATTTAAAATTATATTTATTTCATATTTAGTTGTGCACATTAGCTAATATCGGGATAAATTTTATATCAAAATCTTGATAATAGCTATGTTATATACAATGTGAAATTCTAATCTCCGAATTATAATTCCAGGATTATAATACTTGAAAACCAAACGACCCCTAAGTACTTTAATTAAAAATACAAAGGCTACCATATTAATGAGTTACATTAAATAAAGAGGTAGTACTATAGTATGAACATATGATTAAGCAATTATTATGAGATTTTGTAAGTACCAAGAATCCACGGAAGACGGTTTGAATCTTAGTAGCAGCCCACTTTTCACGGCCAAACACGGCAGTGTTTCTGCTTTGACTAGTTAATCTAACCACTGCCACCGCCGCTTGCGCGGCGGCGACAGCAGCATCAGCTGCAGCAGCGGTGGCTGCTGCCACTGCAATTGCATGTTTGCTTTGTTCCTTATCAGAATCTTGACCATAAAAAGAACTTAACCACGCAGCTTCAGCAGGTGTAATATTTGGTGGTATAGTGGTGGGGTTGTGACACAATCCTCCTGCAGCGGCGGAGATAGCGGTGGCAGTGGCGGTGACGGTGGCGGTGGTGGTGTCTCTACCTGAATGGCCAAAACATGTAGTACTAATTCTGTCCTTTTCTTCAGTTTCTTTGTGGTTATTCTCTAATTTTCTTATCCCAAACAACCCCTTCAACCACCTTATTGCTTTGCCCATTTTTTGAAGAGTTTGTGTTTTGTGGGTGAGGTGGGGGTGGAGGTGGGGTGAGAA